CGCGGTTTAGTTGGACATACGCGGTCAATGCGTGTGTAAACTTACGAGATAAACCGCTTGTATTGGTTGCGTACTTGAACGCGGACCCAGATGCGACACTCCGCAAAGTCGCGCAACAAATTCAGCACGGGCTTCCTGAAGATGGCCCCGTCCAGCTTGATGAGCATGTTCAGAGCCTTGAGACGCCCCATCAGCATTGCAGGGGAGCACTGGCGCCTCTTCTTCAAGGTCTTGTCGGGCCGCTTGAGCGTGGCCATCCTGTCCGCCTGTGCGACCGTCTCGTTCGCGAGGAAGGTTACGTATTTGCGTAACCGCCACGGATTCGTCTCAGGGCCGTGGAACCACTGCTCGTCGCCCTTGGCCATCTTCCAGTCACTACCCATGTTCTGCTCGAGCGCGGCCCCGATCTCGTCGGGGTTCGCGTTTTCCAACGCGGCCTCCTCACCGAACCTACTCGCGTCCAGTTTTGGCAGCTCGTGCGCCATGAAGAGCTTGTACTCTCTTGCCCAACCGCGATATTTCTTCAGCGTGGCCTCCGAGACACCGTAGAGGATGCCCATGCACACCTCTCTTTTCGCGGCCGGCGTGTCGTCCACGCCAAGCCTGTTCCAGTCCGCGATGGGGACCTCCAAGTCCGTTCGCGTACCCCGCACCCGTTCGTTATCTTCCGCCTCCCCCTCGTTGAGCGCGGACAGCGAGTTCGACAGGTAGTTTTCGTCATCGTCATTCCAACTGTCGTCCTCATCGTCAGCGTCGTCCTCGTCATCCTCGTCGCTTTCCCCCTCGCTCACCTCCATCGATCCGTCGCGTGCCGTGGGAGGCACGACTTCGACTCGCCGCCTCCTTACACGCGGTCTACTGACTGGCACGTTCCCGGTACCTCCGGTCGCGTTAACACCGGTACCTCTGCCTCCGTTGCCTACCACCCCATGCGCTCTCCGCCCGTTCGCACTACCTCCGTTCCGTCCCGCACCGGTCCCACGTCCCGTGCTCGCTCTCCCACCCCTTCCTCTCGCACCTCTCCCACTCTCACCTGCCCCTCTTCCCGCGTTCCCACTCGCACCAGTCCCTCTTCCTCTTCCCGCGTTTCCCCTTGCACCAGTCCCTCTCGCTCTTCCCGCATTTCCTCCTGCACGCGCTCCTCGTCCCGCGTTCCCCGCGTAAGCATGTGGTTGTTCACCTACACCGTCGTCCGCTGCGGTCGGGTGCGCGGGGGTGCGGATGTGGACGTCCGGGTTTCCCGGCAACAGCGAGTTCACGTTCCATATTGGCGGCGAATGTGCACGCGCGCTTGCATCCATCCCCGCTCCAACATTCTCCGCACGCACTGAACCATCGGGAACCGCGACTGGGCCTTCTGCACGCGCATGGGTTTCCACGCCCATCACTAATGGTTCTATCCGGTCCCGCGGGGCTTGCACTGTTGCCTGGATTTCCGGATGATTCGTGCTGGGGAATGGGGTTGACGGCGCGACTGGAGGCGTCGCGACAGCCCCGGGCGCGTGCAGCATGGGGTCTGGCTGAACGCCTATGTACCCGTATCTGAATCCCACATTCCCATACTGCGGCCCTACGAAGCCACGCACGGGCATCCCAAAGAGCTGGCTTGAGGGAATGGACGCGGACGCAGTGTGTTCATCAATCTGTTGCCCGGGATGCGGCGTGGATATTCCACGCGACTTCAAATCATCCTGCTGGGCATGAAACGCGACCGTTGACGATGCAAACGGTATCTGTGTCCGCGGTGCTAGGTGGAGCCCGTTGACCAGTTGCTGTGGATGGAACGCGGGCAAACGCGTCCCAAAAACCGCAGGCTGCACGTATGGGGTGCTCCATGTGGGGATGTGCTCGTGCATGTTATGTACGGGTGCGCTGGCCGGTTCGGCAGGATGGATTTGGGCCGCGGTAGTGTTGCCCGAAGCATTGAAGGAGGCGTCAAGTATCGGCGCCGCGACGCGATTCACGGTATGCATGCAGAGGGCGAAATTGCCCCTACTCCTATTTACTGCGTGCGTCAACATCATGCGCGATCTCTATTGGGACAACCGGGTGTGAAGATTACACCAGTACAACGCGACCGTTGTGCTCACTGACACTCGAACGCGGCCCACGTTGTTAACGCGGCCGTAGTCTGGTGAATCCAGTGTGGCATTAGAGGGAGGAGCTTGCTGTGCAACTGGCGTGCGGAAAGCGAAAATGTGGGCCTGATGGGAGTAATGACCGGTCACTGCGTAGACGTGCACGACACGTTACCCCGATCGCGTCTCGACCACACAGCGACAGCTGTGTGGCTCGTACAATTTGATGCACGTGTCAGCCTGCATGGAGCCTACCAGATCGCGCCAGGTGTTTCCGAACCGAGTTCCGCATCGCGCTTTCCAAGCCTTTCCATGGGCGAACCGAGTTCGCGATATGATGCGGGACTTCGCAACCAGTGGTAGCGCTCCTTGTTTCCGCGATCGCGCAGTTGCATGCGAGGAATTCCCCGTCTGCCAATGTTACCGACCAATCGCGTTGGTTTATTCCCGAGTCGCGCATGCATTGGCGCGTAAGAACGAGGTGGGTTCTTTCGGTTTTTGGGGGGGTCGCGGAGCTTTCGGTGGAAACCTGGTGGGTTTCACTGAGCCACGCAGGGCCGCGCAAGGTCCAAAACTGGTGGATTTCTGGAGGGCCGACTTTGCCTCACGCGTCCCCCGATGTCTCCGCGCCCCGTGCATCCCAAGGCGTGGGCGGGGTTTTTCCCGAGCCGCGCCGTATGAACATCCCAGATCCAGTCGCTTACAGATGGATCCAGCCAATCAAATTCCGACACAGGAACGATGTTTTACTGCAAATGATCGCGACAAGTGCTGCTTTTCTCAAGTGTGCGCTGCCTGTAAAGGAGATAGTTCTTTGATTCTGGGAACTGAAAAGTTGGTAGGTCCTGTTGAGGCAATTTCTCCCCGGCTTCTCAGCTACTCTCCCGGTATTCTCGAGGTACCCTTCAGCTTGGAATCTCCAGACATCACGGATTTGTATCTTTGGCCGTTAGGACGGAGACGGCACTTACTACGCCGCGTGCAGCCGACCCCAGTTCCACCAGATAATGATACCGAGGCTGAAACCCGAGATGAAACCGAAGCTGAAAACGCTGCTGGCGCTGACGTGGAACCCCGCATGACTTTTTCATGTATGTGCAAGCGGGTGATCACGGGGGTGGGGCAGGCTTCTAAGGCGACTCAAAAGTGGAGCTACCATGCTGTGACCAACGCTGCACTGGTAGGGTTCGTTGTGCTTTTGATGCCATTGTATTTGGGAGTCAAGGGTTCTCAGTTTCTTTGCCGCTGTACTAGGAAAGGCTGTCGTTGTGCTTGCCGTGCTGCCAGAAAGGGGGTTTCCTGTGTTTCTCTTGCTGCTTGTAAAGCTTTCAAAGGAGGGCGGCGGATAGCTCAAGGTTTTATGCTAAGTACACAGGCAGCAGCAGTAACAGCAGCAGCAACAACAACAATTGTAGCAACTGAGGAAGCAGAAGCAGACGCAGAAGCCGCAGCAGCAGAGGCAGCGGCAGCGGCTTTCAGACAAGCACAAAGGAGATCGAGGGAGTCTGACACAGCAGAATGGATCAGAGTACTAGGTCCAGCAGCACGAAGAGGCCCCATCCCGGGAACCACGCGTCCCAGGCATTACCTATCGAATGTAGAAACCATTGGAGATCTAGTCACAGTAGCAGCAGCCAGATGCAGAGACAAACTCACGGGCAATGGAGAGATGGAACCGGTACTTCAGCAGCATGTGGCTGAGGGAGCGGCTGGCATTGGCAACGCATGGTTTCTGGAGGGAGAAGGGCGGGAAGCATTGAAGAAAGTGAGGACGCATTTCATACTATACATGCGGGATTTAGGTCTGATCGGCTGCTTGGACGAATCCTTCTCTAATAATGCCAGGCTCGGCTCAGAACAGCTCTTTCGACCAGGCCGATTGAGGGTTTGTTGTGCTGCCTTTGATCCTCCTGCTGCTGACTATCACCCAACAGCCGACTGTCACACCGAAACTGACTGTCTTCCCGCTGCTGGCTGCTCCTCTCAAGCTGAGGAGGTGGCAGGAGTGTCGTTTGCTTTGCTTAAGCCACCTGACAATCGGTGGGGCGTTTCGATTTGCAGGGGCTACATTTTTGCCTTCACACATACCAGGTGCTTATACAAGCGCTCTCTTTTCCTTGCACCTCCCTCACTCCCTCTCTGCAGCTGCCTTTTGTGTCTTTCTATCCCTCCTCTTCGCCGGTCACTATCCCACCCACATTTCTGCCTTAATATCCACCATGTACGAATGCATTACTGCCTCGTTTCTTTACACCTACCTCGCTCGCTCTCTCTCCCTTCCTTGCTTGTCTTTCTCGTTGAATCCTGATGCAGCAAGATTGTCCTCTGAACCACCTATGAGCTGCCATAACCAATATTTTTTGCAGGCTTCATCACGCCCTCTCCGCACATCCTCTTGACCCGACAGAGCTCTGTCCCTTCTGCTATTGCAAGGTGAGTAGAGCTCCCATGTAGGAGCTATATCACCCATAAGTCTAAAAGTGCTATATGGTTTCAGCCATCAGTAGTGTTTCACACTTTATTCGTGCATGTCGCTGCTCTGGTCGTTTCGTCAACTGCACATGCAGGTTTGGAATGCATTGGACCAAGTCTCAAGGAGACTCGTCGAGCCAATCTGCTTCGCTATTTGCACAAATGTGAGCAACATTTCAGAGAGAGGGAAAGAGGGGAAGGCGATGACTCTTGCTACGAAATTACTTACAGCAATTATCTTTTGTTTGTGCAGGGGCACTTTTGTGGAGTATTAGAAATGCCAGAACATTGAGTAGTTGCTCATGTTTCCCAAATTTCCATGTACGAAGGTACTGCACATTTCTGTAGATGCTTATGTATTACAAAAAATTCACAAATGAGAAACGAGACTCCTATTCTACAAATGAATCATTTGTTTGGATTGAGCCACTCCCAACCTTTCATCATCCCTCAGTCAACCTCCTCAATCTTGGGCTCGTCCCCCCCGCCATAAGAACCATTTCCCATGCCTCCGGCTCCTGGCACTGGTCCAGCTCCAGCCTGGTACATCTTCGCGATTATCGGGTTACAAATACCCTCGAGTCCCTTTTGCTTGTCTTCAAATTCGTCCACGTCGGCAAGCTGGTTCTTGTCCAGCCAATCAATGGTGTCGTCTACAGCCTTCTCGATCGCCTTCTTATCTTCAGGCGACAGCTTTCCCCCAATCTTGTCGTCGCGAACCGTGTTACGCATGCCGTACGAGTAATTCTCGAGCGCGTTTTTCGCCTCAACCCGCTTCTTGTGCTGCTCGTCATCGTCTTTGTACTTCTCCGCTTCCTCCACCATCCGCTCAATTTCCTCCTTGCTCAGTCGGCCCTTGTCATTTGTAATCGTTATCTTGTTCTTTTGCCCCGTAGTCTTATCCTCCGCGCTCACGTTCATAATCCCGTTCGCATCGATGTCAAAAGTCACGGTAATCTGCGGCACTCCACGTGGCGCGGGCGGAATTCCCGAAAGCTCGAATTTCCCGAGCAGATTGTTATCCTTAGTCCGAGCGCGTTCGCCCTCATACACCTGAATCAACACTCCCGGCTGGTTATCCGAAAACGTCGAGAATACCTGCTCCTTCTTAGTCGGAATCGTAGTATTTCTCGGGATTAGCACCGTCATGACGCCTCCAGCCGTCTCCAATCCGAGCGACAGCGGCGTCACATCGAGCAGCAGCAGGTCCTGCACCTTCTCGTTCCCCTCGCCACTCAGAATCGCCGCCTGAACCGCCGCACCATACGCCACAGCCTCGTCAGGATTAATGCTCTTGCAGAGCTCCTTCCCGTTGAAATACTCCTGCAGCAGCTGCTGCACCTTGGGAATGCGCGTAGACCCGCCGACGAGCACCATGTCGTGAATCTGCGCCTTGGACATTTTCGCGTCCTTGAGGCACTTCTCCACCGGATCCATGCACTTGCGGAACATATCCATGTTGAGCTCCTCGAAGCGCGCGCGGGTGATGGAGGTGTAGAAGTCGATTCCCTCGTAGAGCGAGTCGATCTCGATGGTGGTTTGAGCGGTGGAGGAGAGGGTTCGCTTGGCGCGCTCGCAGGCCGTGCGAAGTCGGCGAAGAGAGCGCGGGTTGTTACTCAGGTCCTTCTTGTACTTCCGCTTGAATTCCTGGACAAAGTGCTGCACCATACGGTTGTCGAAATCCTCGCCACCCAAATGCGTGTCGCCAGCTGTCGCCTTCACCTCGAAAATGCCGTCCTCGATCGAAAGAAGCGACACGTCGAAAGTGCCGCCACCGAGATCGAAGATTAGCACGTTCTTCTCAGACGAGCTGCTATTCTTCTTATCGAGCCCGTACGCGATAGCAGCTGCTGTCGGCTCATTAATAATCCGCATCACGTTAAGCCCAGCGATCACACCCGCATCTTTCGTAGCTTGGCGCTGCGAATCGTTTGAAATACGCCGGAACCGTCACCACCGCGTTCTTCACGGTAGTCCCAAGGTAAGCCTCTGCGATCTCCTTCATTTTCGTCAGCACCATGGACGAGATTTCTTCCGCGGCGAACTGCTTCGTCTCGCCCTTGTACTCGACTTGGATCATTGGCTTCTCGCCTGCGCCTACGATCACCTTGAACGGCCACAGCTTGATGTCGCTCTGCACGGCCGCGTCGGAGAACCGCCGTCCGATGAGACGCTTCGCATCTGCACGCACGACAAGTGAAGAGAAACAAGTGAGAAATATGAGTCGCGAGGAATGAGCGTGGGCAGGCGCATTCAAGTTATGGACCACGTTTTTATTGAGGAGCAGTGGTAGAGTAAGTGACGAATTGAAATGTTTGATAAACCGGTTGTGAGCTTTGAAGTGAGCATGGAGAGGTGAGCATGGTGGCAGCATCTGACTTACCGAAGACAGTGTTGACGGGATTCATGGACACTTGGTTCTTGGCCGCGTCGCCAATTAGGCGCTCCGTGTCGGTGAATGCCACGTAGGACGGGGTGGTGCGGTTGCCCTGGTCGTTGGCGATGATCTCAACGCGATCGTGCTGCCACACGCCCACGCAGCTGTATGTCGTGCCGAGGTCGATTCCAATCGCGGGGCCTTCTCCTTTCGCCATGACTGAACGAGTTCTCAGGAGGTGTGATAAATAGTTTGAAGAGGAGACAAAATCCTTTGCTAAGTGAACGTCACTAGATAGAGAGCTAGTTTACGTCGAGTTTTGAAAGTCGCGAAGAGCGTAATCGCTAAGAGAGAGTTGAGAGCTGATTGCAGTTATGATTTGATGAATCCCAAACGGCGAGTTCATCCATATATGTACCCATTGAGGGACGAAGTGAATAGGCGCTGGTGCTGGGATTCGAGAAGCTGACAGAAAGTTGTGGAATGCAAATGGCTTTCACTTCAAATCGAGAAGTTGCTGGAAGCAGACAGATTGGGCTCGCAACTTTTTGACATTGGGCTGAAGTGCGGCACGGGAAAATCGCATTGGGCGTCTCGAGGACTTTCAAGTTTCCGACGTGGCGATCATCCGTATAGTACCGGTCAGATCGACGGCACTTAGGAGCTTCCGGGTCTCCAGATTCATCGGAAACTGGTACATTTGAAGGTTCCCCATTACTACACCTTACGCATGTGAGCGGAGATTACAAGTCAGATAATAAACAAGAAATGTAGCTTCAACGATTTGCATATACTCAAAATGCTCAAATGCAGCCTACCGGTTATCAAGCAGAAAACGATCCAATGAGAAAACAAAGACACGTGATATCGCGGTTGTTACCTGCATAAATTGAAACCAACGTCCACGTATACATGTTCACCTCCATCACACCACTTGTACAAGTCATTGCACTACAACACACACACCATACTACGGTACAACCACCGTGCATGTACCTAGTCCGGGAACATGACAGGATCTCAGTCAGTCTCAATAGATCTGAACTGGACTCTGGTAAACTATTCATCCGTATGCTTACTCCCACTCACCAATGCGACCAGCACAAGAGCAAGCTTGTGAGAAAGGAAGCCCATCACACCCGCAGCAAACAGCTGTGGCTCAATCTTCAGAGCCTGCAACCCTCCCGTCAAGAGCTCCCCGTCGGCCTCGCCACCACCAAAGCCTCCTCCTAACAGGGCAACTGCTGATCCAATGGCTACAGCTGCTAACGAATTATTCAACTATTCATCCGTATGCTTACTCCCACTCGTGAACGCCACCAGCACAAGAGCAAGCTTGTGCGAAAGGAAGCCCAGCACACCCGCAGCAAACTGCTGCGGCGCAATCTTAAGAACCTGCAACCCTCCCGTCAAGAGCTCCCCGTCGCCCTCGCCACCACCCACGCCTCCCAACAGGGCAACAGCTGATCCAATGACTACAATAGCTAACGACGCCCGGACTCCAATACTCCGCACCAGGCTAAGAGTCTCAGGATCCCCGCTTCTCCCTTCCACCGCCGTTCCGCTGCTGGGAGTGTCAAGCACAGTGTTAGATTCACCCGATGCCTCAGATGCTGATACCGGTGCACGAGGTGGCTTTGCATTTTCAGTCCAGTCGGCCGACGGAAGCTCATCAACGCGGTTCTGCAATCTCAGCAAGTAGACAAGCGCCGCCGCCCCTCCTGCAGCAAACGCCACTGCAGTGTCCACTCCTCCTACCCACCCAGCAGCCCCGGTCCCAGTAACCACCAGCCCTGTGGTAACCAGCAGCATCAGCCTCTTCAGTTCTTCATACTCCCTCAACCCCGCCTCCCTCTTTCTCCGAGCCTCCTCCGCAGCTTTCGCAGCTGCAGCAGCTGCTTCGGGTGCTTCCAGAGCGAACGAGGGATCTAGTATTTGTGACTGAGCCACTCCTAGTTGAAGTGCGGTTGGCGTGTCGGGGTTACCACTGTTACCCCCACCTGAAGGGTCGCCAAGAAAAGTGGGAGCGAAAGGTCCTGGGAGGAGCGTATACTCTACGGCTGCTGCTGTATCAACTGCTGCCGTCACAACATCTGCTCCTCCTGCTTCTGCTGAGGCTGCTTTCCTTACTGCTGTTCTGTCTGAAACGACAGTGACTGCCACGCTGTCAACTCGCCACGTGGCGCCTCGTTGAGGCGCCAGCCAAGCAGCCACGACTGGACCGATACTAGGCGCGGTCAGACGGATTTCCGCTGTCTGCCCTGCAGCGAATGCCGTTGCGACAACTGGCAATACTCCAGTGGCTGCAGCATCCGTCCACTCGACCTTGCCAGCGCTCTTCTGAACCGTAGATTCCATGTCATCCTGTGGCTGGAGTCGCGCCGAAATCGTGTCACCTTTTTCTCCAATCACAGCCAATAGGACGCCGCCACCTGGTGTAGACATGCCCGAAAGAGGCTCTCGGCTTGTCTTCACGCGAATCAAGTAAAGACACGTGGCGGCGTCGCCTGGCTTCTGCTTCGCTTCAGCGCCATCTGCACCGGCGATACCGCTGACAACATCACTAAGTTCTCCATTGTAAGCAACGGCGTCGTCCTTTTGGCGATCTCCTTGGCTTAGTAAATCTGACGGTTGAGGTTCTGAAGCCGACGGGGAGGTGGAAATGATTTTGCGGAGCCGCGCTGGTATCTGGAACTGATGCGACGCGGAGACCGCGAAACGGCGTTCAGGACGGGAGCGCGGTGGTGTAGTCAAGTTGATAGACGCGATGCGGTTCTTGTAGCTTGGGAGGATTCTCGCGGGGCGCTTGTGTAGTTCGGGGGAGCGAACCGACGGTGCGGAGAGCAGGCAACGTGGCTGGCAGGAGAGGTCTGAGGCCATAGTAAGGCGGCGAACCAGCGGACGGACAGGTGAGATATTCAAACGAACAGCTGCGGAATGGTCGAAGGCTGATTCTACTTGGTAGATTCTCGTGCTGACTTCTTTTTGTACCAAAAAGCAGAGTGGTGTTTGAAGACTATTTTCCAGTGGGGAGTTCTCTCGCAAGCGGTTTCGCCATAGGGTTACATGTCGCAGTTCTGAACACGCGTGTTGGTCTCTGCGAAATATTTTCTTCGCACGCGTTCCCAACCTCGAGTATTTCGAAGAGGCTTGTGCGACATCCCGTCTTCGGTTGCTGATGGTTGCCAGCGGAGGCCGTGAGTCAGACACATAATGGATGACGTAGCTTTTAGACATATGTCCTAATATGACAGGACAACAGGTTGTGTTTCAAACGAACCCCTCCAATCCCTGATGACAAACTCGTTATTAGAAATTCGTCAGATACATGTACAGAGTTGCAGAAATTACTGATCCACAGGAGCTATGTATTGTACAAAGCAGATCAGTGGTCATCACCCTCATCTAGATCCAGAATAATCGCTATGTCCATCTCTTCTAGCTCTTCCAGCACCTTCGCCGCAATCTGCGCTTCCAATAGTACCGCATTTGCACCACTGTCCGCCTCACCATTAGGTTGTTCGGAATCCAGCCCCTTCGTCGTACTACCTCCATCAGCGTGCGGCTTGTTTGTTACCCTAGACGCACACGGCGAGATATCAGATAGCAAAACCGCATCATTGACGATGACGCTTTCTGAAGAGGGTTGTTGTAGGCTTATTTGCAGATTAATATGCTCAGGAGGAAGAGGAGAAGCTGACGAAGGCGCGAAAGTACTATAACCCGCATCGTTACGTCGTCGCAAGACGCTCGCAATCTCTGCGAGCCAAAGTTCCACATCCAGATCCGTGACCAGCGACGGTAGAAATTCATGCCGCTGCCTCTTGGCTGGAGACTGCGTTTCAGACGCGGGTTCGAATCCCGTTGACGGATTTTGAGGAACAAGGCTCGGGAATGGTTCACACGAATCTGCGAGGAGCTTTCTTGTGCGTGTGCTTGTAACTTCAGGCAGGCCAAAGCGAATGTTTTCGCCGCTGCCTCCGGCACCGCCGTCGCAACTGGCAATACTGCTCGCACAGCTGGAGTTTCGTCGCAGATCGCCGCCACGGCGGCCGTCGCAAGCGGTTCCGCCACTTCCGTCGCAATCGACAGCGGTATTGCTGCTGACAGCACCATCTGGCTGAGAATCGTCGAGGTCGCTCCAGCGCATATCGAGGGCCACGATGATATCGACGTCCGAGTCTGTTATTTCAAACGAAGCGGCTCCCCGTGCACCATCGTTGGCGGCCGATGGTAAGCCGTCATGACGCGTCGCCGCAGCCACGTCAGTAGGTCGCAGGTTCCCATCGGTGAGTTGGGGGTCTTTCGTGGGCGCGCCGCCATCCGCGACTGCGACGGCGACAGGTGCGGCGATGTGTATACTATCTGACTTGGCGAGGGCGTTTCTAGGATCTGATAAGACCGACGATTGCGCTGCATCCCAGGTCGCGCCCCAATACTCTGACGCCGGGGAGAGAATTCCACTGCGAGCCATGACAAAGGGGAAGTAATATAATAATAATATGGAAAAGTTGAGCTTGTGTTATGATGAAGGAACTGTTTCTAGTTCTGGTGGTGGCGAGGCAATGGAAGAATTTAACTGGGATTCTGCTACTGCATTTTGCTGTTCCCAGCAGCGTTTTTTCTGCAGGGCTACGTTGCCGCGGATCGCTTTCTGTTGCGCGCACGGGAAGGAGTCGCGACGACGACCACCATGAGCTGGTGGCCCTAAGGGATCGGCGCTTTTTGGGGCGCTTGTTGTTTGAAATAGTTGCTTTACGCATGCTTTCGGGATGAGTCATGAAGCTAGATCTACACCTGATGCTCGTGAGAGGCCCAGTGGTTTTCCTGGCAGTTGGGCTTCACTCGATGACGCTTCGTTAGGGCCCATGATGGGGCCTCTAGAAGGCACAGAGGTTCATGAATTTTCTTGCGTGCTGCTTGGAGACGGTTACTTTTGTGTCCGTTCTCTTCGGGCCTTAGCGTGGTCCAAGCTAAGGCCCAACCGGGTCGACTGTCGGGTGTATGTGGGACAATGGTTGAGTGGGGGATTTGTCGAGCATCAGCGGCGTATGATGAGGTTGGGGGACGGTCGAAAATGCGAAGTGCGTGTCCGAAGTGAAGCGTCGAATGGATGTCGCTGGATGTCGGTAAATTTCAACCCTCGGATCGAGAGTTCCAACCGTCAGGATTTGCCGACATCGGATGTCAACGGATGTCACGTTCACTTCGGACCCGCTCTAGGCACATATGCGATGCGATGGCCCTGTACAGAAGGGGGGGGTCCGAGCATAAAGCAGCTGTGCCGCCGCCACCAGTGGCGCATTATAGCTGGGTGGGAGACATAGCCATAGCCACTGGCGACGAGGACAGGGGACGTGCCACTGTTTTAACATTCTGATCGTAACGCACCGAACAGAACCAGGATATTAATTAGGATCAAGACAGGGACCTCAATTGGATGAAAAGCTGTCGGCGGCGGCAGTACGCGGCACGCGGCAACGCCCTGGAAAAACTGTACTGTACACACTTAGCACTGCAGATGATCAGCGGGGGATTGAGTTGGTTTGAGTAGGTTTTGAGGTGGTTACAAACGATATTGGGGCTTCGAACCTGGATCTTGCCAACTCCCGGCACGGGGAGGTGGGTGGGTGATGGTGGGGAAGGTGGGAACGAGGGCAGGTAAGAACTAGGCAAAAGTCGTAATCGGAAGGGGTGCAGTGTGTTTCCGTTGGTTCAAAGCGCGGTGGATTTGGATGGCGGGACGCGGCAGAAGAGAACTTCTGTTGCGGTTGTGTGGTGGACGGATTTCGTGAGTGGGTGCGGGGGACCTCTAGTTGCCAATCTGCGCTGCCTGTCGCTGGTGGCGGATAGCGGGGCAGGGACCAAGGCAGCGGGAAGGGAAGGAAGGCACACTTAGAAAACTTTCGCACACCGACCGGGCCTCCGATATCGACGATGCTTGTGCGACAGTGTACATTTGGTTACTGATCGTTACGAATTTAGCCATCAGAGAAATGGATAACATAGCTGCCAGACAGATGTCCCAATATGACAGGCCAATGGGTTGCTATGAAATGAGCCGGTCCAATCTCTGACCCCGAACTCGTTATTAGAAATTCGCAAGAGATATTCCAGGTACGTGTACACGATCAAAAGATGTTGTGCTTCAGTTTTCCAAAGCAGCAGTTATGAATGTCAGTGATAGTCACATGCATCTAGATCCAAAATAATCTCCATGTCCATCTCTTCCAGCTCCGCCAGTACCATCGCCGCAATCTGCGCTTCCAATAGCGCCTCATATGCGCCACCATCAGCCTCATCCTTAGATTGCTGCGAAAGCAGCCTGAGCCCTTCCTTCATGTTACCTCCGTCAGCGTACTGCTTTGTTGCACTAGAAACACGCGGCGCGAACTCAGGTAGCAAAACCCCATCGTTGACAATGAGGCCTTGTGAAGGCGGCTGTCGAAGGCTTAATTGCAGATCAATATGTTCAGAAGGAAAAGCAGAAGTTGGCGAATGTGCGAAGGTTTCGTAGTCGCGAACAACCGCCAGGTAACCCGTTTCGTTGCATCCTCGCAAGTAACTCGCAGCCTCGGCGAGCCAAAGATCCACATCCACATCGGCGACCGGCGACGGTAGAAATTCACGCCGCTGCCGCTTGGCTGGAGGCTGCGTTACAGACGCGGGTTCGAATCCCGTTGACGGACTTTGAGGAACAAGGCTTGGGAACAGATCGCAGGAAAAATTCTCGCAGCTGCCGCTGGCGCTGCCGTCGCTACTGGCGACGCTGCTCGTGGAGCTGGAGCATCGTCGGAGTTCACCGCGGCGGCCGCTTGCGATTCCGCCATTTCCGCAACTTCCGCCACTTCCGCCACTTCCGTCGCGAACACCGCCTGCACTGCTGCTGACAGCACCGTCAGGCTGAGAACAATCGAGGTCGTCCCAGCGCTGATCGAGCACCATGATGAAATCAAGGTCCGATTCTGACACTTCAAACGAACCCGCGCCGCGTGCACCGTCATTGGCGGCCTTTGGTAAGCCGTCATGACGCGCCGCCGCAGCCACGTCAGCAGGACGCGGATTCTCATCAGCAAGTTGGGGGACTTCAACGAACGCGCCGTCCGCGAATGCGACGGCGACAGGTGCGGCGATGCGTGTTTCTGTCTCAACGAGGTTGGGTTTAGGACATGATAAAATCGACGATTGCGCGGCATCCCAGGTCAGCGCGTCCCAATGGTCTGACACTGGGGAGAAACTTTCACTGCTAGCCATGACAGAGGGATCGAAATAACTACAATCTATATGGAAGCGCGAAACTTGTGTCACTTCAGCGTAGCTGCTTCTGGTTCTAGTGATGCGATGCTTTTGAGCAGGTGAACTTCTTGAAGCAGCTATCAAAGCAGGAGCAATATCGTGGGGAAGGCGCGGCTAAGAAATGCGATACCCAATTTGGCGATCGTTATCCGTTCCTTTTGCCTTTTCTCTGCTGGTCGGCAAAGACTTCCGCCGCACAGTTATGTGCCACAGTCCGCTGATTGATTGCAAGAACCGAAAGCCGCAAGGCATCATGCATTGAGATGAGAAATGCTGTAGGTGCTGCATTTTGCTGTTACCAGCAGCACTTTCCGCAGTCTAAATTTGCCGCGAAGCGCTTTCTGTTGGGCGCATGGGACGAGTCACCACCACCTCTCACACCACCAACACCACTGTAAGCTGGTGGTGGCCCTACAAGGGCGCTTTTTGTTGGGCGTTTTGATGCTTGGAATGGTTGCCCTATTTGTATACAGTTAGCCTATGCCCAGACCCAATTTTTAGGGCCTAGTCTTGAAGCTTGATCCGCGTTGCGGGTTAGCTGAATTGTCGATGAGCATTTGATGGCGCGGCGGTGGCGCTGGAGGAGAAAATCCGAGCATAAAGCAGCTGTGAGATGTCGCCACCAGTGGCGAACTCGCTAGGTGGGAGATGTAGCCAGTGGTGGTCCCCGCCCCATCCCTGACGAGCTGGACAAAAGAGGGCATGGTTGGGAAGGTAAACCTTTTGATCGTAGCGCACCGTAATGAATCGTGCTAACAAGAAATTGAAGGGATCAGCACAGCACACCACCATCACGACAGGGATCTCAACTGGAGGCGTAACATACGGCGTAACACAGGGCTAAGGACGTGGGCCCAATCGACTTTGATCGGCGCGATCAGAGGCGATCAAAATTTTCGAGGAAGGCGGGAAGCAGATTTCAGGCAATCGGGGGCAATCAGCTGATCGCGATCAGCTGATCGCTCCAACTCGATCAACCGCCTCAAACAGCCCGATCAGACCCGATCAGACACAATCAGACCCAATCACTTGATTGCATGTGATCGGGGACCTGGGCGACGTACGCGAAATGTAACACGCCTCGTCATGGGGTCACGAAACTCCTTGCGAATACACCCAGATCGCCATAGCCATAGTTTCGCCACCCAATCGAAATTCAATCGAAATTACCACGATACTGAGATTCGTCAGTCTCGCCAAAGTTGGCCTGCAACTACCAGGTAATGGGTCGAAAGTTTTCATGCAAGAGCGCGAAACATTCGAGGAAAATCATCTCTGATCGGGCGGCGCGGGAAAAACGATCAGAATCAATTCGACCCGATCCAGCACGATCCGATCAGAGCCGATCAAAGTCGATTGGGCCCACGTCCTAAAGTTAGGCTTTTCGCCAACTCGGACGTTTTGGCTCCCTTCAAAAAATGCCCTGAAAACGCAGGGTCGGCTCAAAAACCGCTCGTAAAAATCAGGGCTGGCCTAAAGATTCCTCGTTGTCGTAATTCGATAGTTCCGCAGCGATGGAGACTTCTTTCTGACAAAAGCTGATGTCGGAACTTGTGCTGCTTTCCTGTGGAACTCTGCTCACAGAGAGCGAAAGTGTACAGGTGCCTCCGAATTTGACTAAGGAACAGAGGGGCGGGAGGGAAGCATTCAGGTGTACAAGTGCCTCCGAAATTGAAGTCCAGGAAGGGAGAAGTCTACCTGTGTTGGGTAGGGCGAGGGTGGGGGTAGTTAGAGCCTTAGAAAAAAGTCCGAGTCCTTCAAGGGAGTACTCGGATTCATAAGAGTCAGTCCTGGAAGTGCTCGGATTCAGTCAGGGCTGGCTGAACAAATCCCCTGTAAAAATCCGAGTTCGGCTGAAAAATACCTTGGAATTTCAGTCAAGAACGAGCATTTACGCTGATAGCCTGAGCCCTGATCCCAACCCCGTCGGGCCAGGTCAGGATGAGGTGGAGGAGGAGGTGGGGGGAAGTGGGAAAGAGGCCGTTTGGAAGGCTTTGGGGCGGAGTGGGTGGAAGCTGAAGCGGTGCGTTGCGATTGCTTTCTCCGAAGCGCGGTGGATGTGGAGGGCAGGAGTTGAACGGTTGCGGGGTAAGTGTGGATGGTTGGATTGCGAGGAGATGCGGCTGATTTTTACCTCAGGTTGCGAATCTGCGCTACCAGGCGCTGCTGCGGTTCGGGAAGCACGACAAAGGCGTCTCGAGTTGCGGACAATTTTTTTCAGGACCGAAGCGGTTGGGTGGATCAATCTTGGGCAACGCGTGTCCAACGAATTTTTGGAACAACTTCAAGCGTGGGGAAAAAATCCTATGTACAGTACATCCTCATGCAAGGCGTTACATCCACCGTTCGATCTGATTGACAAATTCGCCTGGTTTTGGCAAAGTGTCTAGCGTGGATTTAGTGGGCTTGATTGTATGCATTAACATTGTACGTACAAATGGATAAAACATCCAGCAAATATTTTGTGTTGAATTATTAGCGTTTTGCAGCTTGTGACCAAAGGTAGTTGAGTTCCTTGACGGAGAAGTCGGTACACAATATTCTTACCTGGCCTGCGCTATCTTGTGTCAGTGTAAGAAAAAGCATTGTGGAACTAGGGCCCACAAAAATAAAAAATAGTAATAATTTCATAACCAACCGATGCCATTCTAAGGTTCTAATAAATTCACGAAGGCAAGAAACCTGAAATTCTTAGGGAATTAACTGGATATGGTGCAACGTGGGTTACAAGAGGTAGGATAACATTCATCTTGCGTTCATTATTTCTTTTCAAAATGCTTTTATGTCCACTACCGAATCTTACCATCTATGGACCTGTCTTCTATGGCGATTCAGAAGAGTTCCGCTAACACGTCTCTTCTCGGGTTGGTGGAGCCGGCGGGTGTCAGAAAACAGTTCAACCGCCAAATCAATGACGAGCACCGGAACGAACTAGATTCAAGGCACAACAAGCAATTCATTCCAACAGATCGGTTTAAGGGGTTTAGAGCAGGTTCTGTAGGCTGTAGAGTCAGCAAGCATGGTTACATCGCGGTGGCAGATATGTAGCAGGTCCTCAATCCTTGATCCTGCCTACTCCTGCAATTCCAAATTGCCAATTCACGCGCTCCTGAATTCCACTCTTATTTTGTGCCACCTCATGCCGGCAGATTATGGGATCAGATAAGGCACCAAACCGGCATCAGTCCGTGTGATCTGATGTGAGCCGTCGCTAGCTATCCACTTTCTCCATCCGCTGTCGCTATTGGCCGGCATTTTTCCATCAATAGCCCTGCTTCTTATCCGCGCTATTATCGACAATAAAACAGGTGCTAACGAGGCAGGTGTTGTTAATGGCTAGCTGTGTCGGCACTACCCAGATGCGATCTATCGCATGCGGCTTCGCAAATGCGTTTGCGAATGATCTCGCGTATGGATTTGCGAACCTAGTGTCTAGTAACGGATCTCCTGCGCTTCGTCTGCCTTTCAGTCCCGCGCCGCGCGGCGTAAGATCTGACATGGCAGGACATTTCGTCCATTGCTCGCTCCGAAGAATCTTGGAACCCGCGCGACTTTCCGCGGCGCGAATGCGGTCTAGAAAGTCAACGCGAGTCGTGGCGAATCGGAAGAGGTCAACATCCCGTCGCGCCACGATAGCGGAGGCGGGGGAAGGGAGCGGGATTGAGGCGGGGAAGGAGGAGGGGAGCGCGGGGAGTTTGAGAGTCGCCGTAATTTGCGGGGGGCCGTCCGAGGAGCGCGGAATCTCGCTTAACTCGGCGCGGTCCGTGGTGGACCACCTGGAAGCGCCTGACGTGGAGATTAAGACGTACTATGTAGACCCGTTCTTGAGAGTCTTCGCCATTCCGACCACGCAGGTACTATTCGCCCTTCGCCCGCCCTCCCCTCCCCTTACCCACCTCCTCCCCCACCGTGGACAACCTGGGAGAGCGTGACGGAGACTTTTGAGTCAGGTGACTTTTGAGTCAGGTGACTTTTGAGTCAGGTGACTTTTGAGTCAGGTGACTCTTGAGTCAGGTGACTTTTGGGTCGGTGTTATTCCGACCACGCAGGTATTTCGCTTAACTCGGCGCGCCCCCTGCCGACGACCACGTGGAAGCGCGTGACGTGGAGATTAAGACGTACTGTCCGGCCCCGTATTGGGTGACTGGAACATGGAGATTAAGACGTTTATGAAAGTCATCGTCAATCCGATCACCCAGAGTCAACCCTTGCCCTTCCCTTCCGCATTTGCTCGACCCGTTGCTATCGCTGCCTCTTCCTCGGACCAACGTGCCTGTCCATTTCGACTTCCATTTCAACCGCACTCCACCCCCTTTTCTTCTGCGGCTTTCTCCTCATAAACCGTTTCCCGCTCAGATGTATTCCAACACTCCTGCCTACTTCGACTTGATCTTTTAAGCCCCCCATCCCCTTCTTTCCCTCCCTTTTCGTCTCTCGCCATTGCTATCGTCGCACCCCCCTCAGATGTACTCCAACACGCCTGCCGATTTCGACTTCAAGCTTCGCAGGTACTGACCTGCACCTTCTTCCCCTCAAATGTATTCCAACCTGCACCTTTGTAGAACGTCTGTGAGCGTTCTGTGGCCGCCTTTCTATCTTTGTAGGAGGTGCATGAACAGCAAATTGTTTGATTCCGCTGGAATTTAACCCTGCATGGGCGGCAGGGAATTCAGCAACTTGCTGTCCCCTTTCAGCATGGCATCGCCTTTCCCCTCCCTGCCTGCATTCGCAGCACACGTGTCAGCTACAGCCGTCAACTGCCTTGTTCACTTAGCCCCCCTTGCCTTTCCCTCCACCCCCCCCCCTCCCTTCGCTCCCTTCTCTCCCTTTGTCCCCATCGCTCCCCCCATTCCACTCGTCCCCCTCTGCCTTCTCTGTTTGCAGCATGGCATCGCCTTTCCCCTCCCTGCCTGCATTTGCGGCACACCTGTCCAAAGCAGCTGACATTGCCTTTCCAGTTATCCATGGGAAATTCGGGGAGGATGGGGGCATACAGGTGGGTTTGTTTGCTTCGGCCATTTACCGCTATGTAACCACACTTGTCACACGCAGTTGACATTGTGTTTCCAGTCATCCAAAGGAAATTCGGGGAAGACGGGGGCATACAGGTGGGTGGGTTTGCTTCTGCCATAAACTGCTATGCCCGCAACATAACAGCACATCTGTCACTCGAGTTTGACATTGTGTTCCCAGTCATCCATGAGAAATTTGGCGAGGACGGGGGCATACTGGTGGGTGGGTTTGCTTCTGCCAATTAATGTCTTGTCACCTCAACTACGGGATACAATGGCTTCTCCCCTCTTATCCCCCCTCCTTTCCCTAACTCCTTCCCCACTTTCCCACCTCGCCACCTCCCCTCGTATTCGCCCTCCTTTTCCACCCCTCACCTGCCCCTCTCGCCTCCTCTCTCTGACAGACCCCCTTGGAGCAATACGACTTTCCCTTTGTCGGCACCTCCTCTACTGCTGCTGAATTCTGAGTCAACTAACCCCCACACCCTCCTTCTCCCTTTCGTCCCCCCTCCTCCCCCTTCAACCCCCTACCAGGCACTGTTGGAGCAGCTAACATTCCCGTTGTCGGCACCTCCTCTGCTGCTGCTGAATTTTGTGTGAACTAACCTTCACACCGTCCCTCTCCCCCCCCCCGTCCTTCCGCCTCCCCTTCACCCCTCCTCCCCTTCACCCCTCCTCCCCTTCACCCCTCCTCCCCTTCACCCCCTACCAGGCACTGCTGGAGCAGCATGGCATTCCCTTTGTCGGCACTTCCTCTGCTGCTGTCCGCAATGCATTTGACAAGGTGGGAGGGCGGGCGGCAGGTGACCGAGTGGGGGAAGCTTGTTAGACAAAGTGATAGTTATGCCGGAAACCAAAGGTCTCAGGTTCGAATCTCAAAAGGTCCTACCTGCCAGCCCGCCAGCCCAAAGGTCACAGGTTCGAATTTCAAGAGGCTTTATAACCGCAGACTGATTTTGTGTTCCACATTGCTTCTCTCTCACCTCCCCTTCGATTTCCTCTTCAAAGTTGCGAATTGTTTTTTACCCTCCCTAGCTCTTCCTTCCTTACCTTACCTCCCCTTTGAACCAGCAGTAAGCGTGTTTTATCTAACGCATCTCATATCCCCCCTCCTCTCCTTTCCCCGGTGTTTCTTGCAGTATGCGTGTGCACAGCACATGAAGCGTTGCGGCTTTCCCACCCTCCCGTCCTTTCTCATCCAGGTGTGCAACTTAACTGAGAGCCAGTCCTTAGGTAAGTGCACGCTCTTAATCATGTTCTGAGGGGTCTGGAAACCCATTTTTCAGGCCTTTTTTCTCCCATTTCCTTCAAAAGGGCAGTTCAGTAAAAAAATCCATGCTTGCAATAACCCTGCACATGAAAGTATGGCTCTGTGTGGATTCAGGCTGGGGTAAACGACAACGATGGTGACGTGGCGCTTGCTGATTGGTTCACCTCCAACGGACTCTCACCAGACACCGGCTCTGTTGTGGTGAGACTCTCGATTGTGGCGCTTGTATTTTTAATACAAAATCTTTTTATACAATACTTAACACCGATTGGTCCTTGTATTAAATTTAGCAAGCATACACATTAGATGCAATGGTGGGTCCATTTCTCCTTGTTTTCCTGCTGCACCGTTCTCCACCGCCGCTAAGTACTTGCCTACCTAAGTTCTACTGGTGTGATTCTGGGTTGCTTTGCGTTGCAGGTGAAGCCAGCGCGTGCGGGGTCGAGTGTCGGTGTCTCTGTGTGTTCTGCTGCATGCGGTTTTCAACACGTCTCAATCAACCCCCCCGGCGCTGCGCATTGCCTCCCTCCCCTGGTGTGATTCTGGGTTGCTTTGCTTTGCAGGTGAAGCCAGCTCGTGCAAGGTCGAGTGTCGGTGTCTCTGTGTGTTCTGCTGCATGCGGTTTTCAACACGTCTCAATCAACCCCCCCGGCGCTGCGCATTGCCTCCCTCCCCTGGTGTGATTCTGGGTTGCTTTGCTTTGCAGGTGAAGCCAGCTCGTGCAAGGTCGAGTGTCGGTGTCTCTGTGTGTTCTGCTGCATGCGGTTTTCAACACGTCTCAATCAACCCCCCCGGCGCTGCGCATTGCCTCCCCCCCTGGTGTGATTCTGTGTTGCTCTGCTTTGCCTGCAGGTGAAGCCAGCGCGCGCGGGGTCGAGTGTCGGTGTCTCTGTGTGTTCCGGTGCAAAGGAAGCTTCCCAGAAGGCCCGCGAGCTGATATCTGAGGTCAGTTGTTTCTGCCCAATACATTCTTGGTAATTTTTCTGCCCCATGCTCTCGGGGTGAGTAACTCTTTTAATGCATTCTTGGGTTTAGGGTATCTTTTTAACTCTTGAATAGCATTATTTGTGCTCCATGTGTGCTCTCCTCCTGCGCCATACCTCATGTTTTGAGACGTCTCAAAACTTTCTATCAAACAGCGTCCATTGTGCTCCAAGAATACATCACGCCGTCGCCTTCCTCACGCCATCGCCTTCCTCACGCCGTCGCCTTCCCCTCTCCCCTCTCCCCCCTCTCCCTGCCCTCCACCCCTACTCACCCCAGGGTGTAGACGATCGGGTGGTGGTGGAGGTGTTTGCAGCAGGGGGCAAGGAGTTCACTGCAATTTTGCTGGAGTCACCCTCCTGCCCCTGCCTCGATGCTTCCTGTCCCCATTCCCCTCTCCCCTTTCCCTGCCCTCTGTCCCTACCCACCCCAGGGTGTGGACGAGCAGGTGGTGGTGGAGGTGTTTGCAGCAGGAGGCAAGAAGGTGACAGCCATTTGTTGCACTCAACCCCCTGCCCCTCTCCGCTGCCCCCTGCCGTCTGCGTCCTCTGCCCTCACCCCTGCCCCCTCTCCCTCCTCCCCCTCCTCTCCCTCCCAGGGTGTGGACGATCGGGTGGTGGTGGAGGTATTCAGGGCAGGGGGAAAGGAGTTCACGGCCGTCGCGCTGCACTTAACCCCCTGCCCCTGCCTCCATGCTTCCTGTTTCCCTTCCCCTCTCCTCTCTCCTCCTCCTGCCCCCTTACCTGCCTACCCACCTCAGGGTGTGGATGATCGGGTGGTGGTGGAGGTGTTTGCAGCAGGGGGGAAGGAGTTTACCACCATTGTGCTGCACCCAACCCCCTGCCCCTTGTCCCTAAGCTCTCCTCTCTTCCTCTCTCCTCCCTCCTGCTCCTGTGTGCCCATACCCACCACAGGGTGTGGACGATCGGGTGGTGGTGGAGGTGTTTGCAGCAGGGGGGAAGGAGTTCACTGCCATTGTGTTGGAGTCAGCAGCTGGGGCGGGGGGTGAGGATGGGAACAATGGCACCCGCAGTGCAGTGTGCCTGATTCCCACGCAGGTGAGCTACCATTGCAGTGTGCTGCAGCAGGGGGGAAGGAGTTCACTGCCATTGTGCTGGAAGCACAGCTGGGGCGGGGGGTGGCGGTGAATCGGCTGTGGCTGGAGCAAGCAGCAGCCGTGCAGTGTGCCTCATCCCCACGCAGGTGAGGTACCTACCATTGTATGCAGTGCAGCCGGGGGGAACGGGATCAGTTCAGTAGTCACCGCATCAGCAGCCGCAGCTGGGAATGGCACCCGCAGTGCAGCAGCCGCAGCTGGGAATGGCTTTTGAGAATTCTCAAAAGCCCCACGCAGGTGAGGTACCTACCATTGTATGCAGTGCAGCCGGGGGTAGTGGGATCAGTTCATTAATCACCTCATCGCAGCAAGGGGCAAGGAGTTTACCGCCATCGTGCTGGAGGCAGCAGCAGCAGTAGCTGGGGCTGTGGTTGAAATCCCCACCCACCCAGGTACTGCCTGTGCCTAATCCCCACCAGGTGTGGCTCTCAAGGCATCTCAGACATGGTATTCTTGAGGCGCCACATTGTCAGCACCTCACAGTGTGTTTCTTCTTCGCTTTTCTGTGGATTTTACTTTTGAGAATTCTCAGAAGTAAATACCTCACAAAGTGCCTCTTCTTCCCTCTTCTTCCCTCTTCTTCCCTCTTCTTCCTTCTTCTTCCCTCTTCTTCCCTCTTCTTCCCTCCTCTTCCTTCTTCTTCCCTCTTCCTCTTCTTCCCTCTTCTTCCCTCTTTTTCCCTTTTCTTCCCTCTTCCTCTTCTTCCCTCTTCTTCCCTCTTTTTCCCTTTTCTTCCCTCTTCATCCCTCTTCTCCCCTCCCCTTCCATCCACTTTCTTGCTGCCCACACACCACGTGGAGCTTACAAGCTTCGCCGCTTCCCAAGCAACTCGGCTGTCGCCTGTGCTCCTGCCACGGCAGGAGCACACCAATAACCTCTCTTTCCCTTCCCTCCCGTTCCCTTTCCTACCCCGTCCCTTGTCTTGCCACACACCAGGTGGAGCTTACTGGCTTTCCTGCTTCTCAAAGCACCTTGCCTGTTGATGGTGCTGCTCCTGCCACAGCAGCAGCAGCAGCAGCAGCAACTGAAGGCACCTTCCTCCCTTGTCTTGCCACACCCCACACCAGGTGGAGTTGACAGGCTTTGCCACTTCTCAAGGCACCTCGCTGGTGGCTGGTGCTGCTCCTGCCACAGCAGCAGCAGTAGCAGCAGAATCTGAAGGCGCTGAATCGGAAAGTGACAGCAATGGGGACATCTTTCCTCAACGTCCTCCCTTGTCTTGCCACGCCCCACACCAGGTGGAGTTGACAGGCTTTGCTGCTGCTCCTGCCACGGCAGCAGCAGAATCACTTGAAGGCGCTGAGTCTGATAGTGACAGCAGTGGGGATATCTTCGACTACCGACGGAAATACCTTCCCACACAGCAGGTAATGCTCGAGTCGAGTGAGCAACTCCTCTGTTGCTGCTCCTCTTGCCACGACAGCAGCAGCAGCAACTGAAGGGGCTGAGTCTAATAGTGACAGCAATGGGGATATCTTCGACTATCGACGAAAATACCTTCTCACTTAGCAGGTAATGTTCGAATTGCCTTGCCTGATCTCGTCACCCAAAATTCCCGTTTGTCTCTGATTCACTTCCTTTTTCTCCCTTCCCCCTTCCACCACCTCTCTCACGCCTCTTTCAGGTTCTCTACTCCACGCCTCCTCGCTTCCCTCCCACTATCCTCTGCCTGTAATGAGTCGAGTTTTGAGTCGACTCAAAACTCGACTCATTACACACGCCGCCTCGCTTCCCCCCCACCATCCTCGCCTCCCTCCACTCCTCAGCCACGCGCCTCTTCTCCTCCCTCTCCCTCCGCGACTGCGCCCGCCTCGACGGATGGTGTGTCCTCTTTGCTCTCTGCCTTCTCCCCTCCCTAACTCCTCAAGGCACCCTCCTTCCCAAACTCTTCCCCGTATTCCCTCATACCCACTTCTGTCTGTCTGCTATTCCCCCCCCCTCCCCACCCCAAATCCCCCTCCTCCCTCCCCTTCCTCGTCAGGTTCTCTACTCCACGCCGCCTCGCTTCCCCCCCACCATCCTCGCCTCCCTCCGCTCCTCAGCCACGCGCCTCTTCTCCTCCCTCTCCCTCCGCGACTGTGCTAGGCTGGACGGATGGTTCCTCCCTCCTTCCTCCCCGGCATACACCCGCGTGCTCGCAGGGCTGAAAGCTAGTAAAGAGGAGGCTGATAACGAGGACAATGGGCAGGGGGGGGAGTGGGAGGAGGAGTATAAGGAGGGGATAGTGGTGTTCTCGGACGTCAATATTGTTAGCGGCATGGAGCAGACCTCTTTCCTCTTCCAGCAGGCTGCTTTGGTGAGTGGTCCAATCATGGTGCCCCTTATAACTTATACGCCCGCTACCATTACCATTACCATTATCATTACCATTACCACTACCATTACCATTACCATTACCATTAACACTACCATTACCATTAACACTACCATTACCATTAACACTACCATTACCATTAACACTACCATTACCATTACCATTAACAGTACCATTACCATTACTATTAACACTACAAATACCATTACCATTACCATTACCACTACCATTACATTACCATTAACACTATTATTACCATTACCATTACCATTACCACTACCATTACCATTACCATTACCACTACCATTACCATTATCATTACCATTACCATTACCATTACCATTAACATTACCATTACCATTACCATTACTATTACCACTTCCATTACCATTACCATTACCATTACCATTATCATTACCACTACCATTACCACTACCATTAGCATCACTAATACCATTACCACTACGATTACTACTACCACTACGATTACCATTATCACTGCCATTACCACTACCATTACCACTACCATTGCCATTACCATTATCACTGCCATTACCATTACCATTACCATTACCATTACCATTACCATTGTGGTGTTTTCGAACATGAATATCGTTAGCGGCATGGAGCAAGCGTCGTTTCTTTTCCAGCAGGCTGCGTTGGTGAGCCTTCCCTCTTTCGCACTGTGTATTGTTAGTACATGTATGCTAATAACATGTACATTATCTCCGGATGAGAATATCGTTTGCGGCATGAAGCAGACCTCGTTTCTCTTCCAGCAAGCTGCGTTGGTGAGTGTTCCTCCTTCCTCACTCATTCATGTCAAAAGTTTTATGCTAATCTCATTCATGTCAACAGTTGTATGCTATGTCAATATTGTTAGCCGGCTCCTGTGTCCCTTGAGTCAACTCAAATCACATTCTTCCACTCTACTTACAACCTCCCACTGCCCACAGGTGGGACTCTCCCACACTCTCATCCTCAGGTGGATCCTCGCATCTGCCTGCTCCAGATACGGCCTTCTCCAGATACGGCCTTCTCCAGATACGGCCTTCTCCACATACGGCCTTCCTCCATGTTTCTTTAGCTCAGTTAAATTTGACTCTTTCCCCCCCATTCCTTCCAGGTGGGCCTCTCCCACTCCCTCATCCTCAGGTGGATCCTCGCTTCAGCCTGTTCCAGATACGACCTTCCCCTCCCTCTCCACCCCCCTCCGGCTACTCCTGGCGTCGGGGGTTTGGGAGAGGAGGGAGGTGGAGGGGAGGGAGGTGAAACAGGAGGGAGGCGGCAGCTGGTGTGGGTGTTATTTGGAGGCAGCACAGCAGAGCGCCAGGTGTCTCTCATCAGCGGGACCAACGTGTGGCTCAAGCTGCGTTCTTGCCCGCAGGTGCGTTGGCAGTGCTGTGCTGTTGCCCAAGCCCTCTCCGATAGGTGAGCAGCACAGCAGAGCGCCAGGTGTCTCTTATCAGAACCAATGTGTAGCTCAAGCTGCGTTCCTGCCCGCAGGTGCGTCTATTCGTGTCTGTGGTCCGTAGCTCATAGCTCATAGCCCGTGTCCTCAACCCTACACCTGGCAGCACAGCAGAGCGCCAGGTGTCTCTGATCAGTGGAACAAACGGGTGGCTCAAGCTCAGGGCCTGTCCACAGGTGCGTTTGCCGTGCTGTGCTGTTACCCATGCCCTCTCCGATAGGTGAGCAGCACCACGCAGAGCGCCAGGTGTCTCTTATCAGCGGCACCAACTTGTGGCTCAAGATGAGGGCGTGCCCGCAGGTGTGTGTGTGTGTGTGTGTGTGTGTGTGTGTGTCTGTGTGTGTGTGTGTGTGAGTGTGTGTGTGTGTGTGTGTGTGTGTGTGTGTGAGTGTGTGTGTGTGTGTGTGTGTGTGTGTGTGTGTGCCTGTCTTTGAGAAATTGCCTGTGATCCGGAGCTCATAGCTTATGGCCCTCAATTCTTCACCTAGGGGAAGGAAGCACAGCAGAGCGCCAGGTGTCTCTCATCAGCGGCACCAATGTGTGCCTCAAGCTGCGTGCCTGCCCGCAGGTGTGCTTGTCTCTCTGTGTGCGCGTTGGTGTGCTGTGCTGTTCTGTTCCGCATGCCTCCATAGCTCATCCCCCCTCTCCCATAGCCCATCCCCCCTCTCCCATAGTCTCTGCCCTTCTTCTCCCTATCCCTTCTCACATCCCGTCCCTCTTTCCCTCTCCCCATCTCCTCTTCCACAGTTTGACGTGCAACCATTCCTCCTCTCTCCTTCACAGGACAGCAGCAGCAACACTGCTGGGAACAGCAGCAGCCAACACTGCTGGGAACAGCAGCAGCCAACACTGCTGGGAACAGCAGCAGCCAACACTGCTGGGAACAGCAGCAGCCAACACTGCTGGGAACAGCAGCAGCAACACTGCTGGGAACAGCAGCAGCCAACACTGCTGGGAACAGCAGCAGCCAACACTGCTGGGAACAGCAGCAGCAACACTGCTGGGAACAGCAGCAGCCAACACTGCTGGGAACAGCAGCAGCCAACACTGCTGGGAACAGCAGCAGCCAACACTGCTGGGAACAGCAGCAGCAACACTGCTGGGAACAGCAGCAGCAACACTGCTGGGAACAGCAGCAGCCAACACTGCTGGGAACAGCAGCAGCAACACTGCTGGGAACAGCAGCAGCCAACACTGCTGGGAACAGCAGCAGCCAACACTGCTGGGAACAGCAGCAGCCAACACTGCTGGGAACAGCAGCAGCCAACACTGCTGGGAACAGCAGCAGCCAACACTGCTGGGAACAGCAGCAGCAACACTGCTGGGAACAGCAGCAGCCAACACTGCTGGGAACAGCAGCAGCCAACACTGCTGGGAACAGCAGCAGCCAACACTGCTGGGAACAGCAGCAGCAACACTGCTGGGAACAGCAGCAGCCAACACTGCTGGGAACAGCAGCAGCCAACACTGCTGGGAACAGCAGCAGCAACACTGCTGGGAACAGCAGCAGCCAACACTGCTGGGAACAGCAGCAGCCAACACTGCTGGGAACAGCAGCAGCAACACTGCTGGGAACAGCAGCAGCCAACACTGCTGGGAACAGCAGCAGCCAACACTGCTGGGAACAGCAGCAGCCAACACTGCTGGGAACAGCAGCAGCCAACACTGCTGGGAACAGCAGCAGCAACACTGCTGGGAACAGCAGCAGCAACACTGCTGGGAACAGCAGCAGCCAACACTGCTGGGAACAGCAGCAGCAACACTGCTGGGAACAGCAGCAGCCAACACTGCTGGGAACAGCAGCAGCCAACACTGCTGGGAACAGCAGCAGCCAACACTGCTGGGAACAGCAGCAGCCAACACTGCTGGGAACAGCAGCAGCCAACACTGCTGGGAACAGCAGCAGCAACACTGCTGGGAACAGCAGCAGCCAACACTGCTGGGAACAGCAGCAGCCAACACTGCTGGGAACAGCAGCAGCCAACACTGCTGGGAACAGCAGCAGCAACACTGCTGGGAACAGCAGCAGCCAACACTGCTGGGAACAGCAGCAGCCAACACTGCTGGGAACAGCAGCAGCCAACACTGCTGGGAACAGCAGCAGCCAACACTGCTGGGAACAGCAGCAGCCAACACTGCTGGGAACAGCAGCAGCAACACTGCTGGGAACAGCAGCAGCAACACTGCTGGGAACAGCAGCAGCCAACACTGCTGGGAACAGCAGCAGCAACACTGCTGGGAACAGCAGCAGCCAACACTGCTGGGAACAGCAGCAGCAACACTGCTGGGAACAGCAGCAGCCAACACTGCTGGGAACAGCAGCACCAACACTGCTGGGAACAGCAGCACCAACACTGCTGGGAACAGCAGCAGCCAACACTGCTGGGAACAGCAGCAGCCAACACTGCTGGGAACAGCAGCAGCCAACACTGCTGGGAACAGCAGCAGCAACACTGCTGGGAACAGCAGCAGCCAACACTGCTGGGAACAGCAGCAGCCAACACTGCTGGGAACAGCAGCAGCAACACTGCTGGGAACAGCAGCAGCCAACACTGCTGGGAACAGCAGCAGCCAACACTGCTGGGAACAGCAGCAGCCAACACTGCTGGGAACAGCAGCAGCCAACACTGCTGGGAACAGCAGCAGCCAACACTGCTGGGAACAGCAGCAGCCAACACTGCTGGGAACAGCAGCAGCAACACTGCTGGGAACAGCAGCAGCCAACACTGCTGGGAACAGCAGCAGCAACACTGCTGGGAACAGCAGCAGCCAACACTGCTGGGAACAGCAGCAGCCAACACTGCTGGGAACAGCAGCACCAACACTGCTGGGAACAGCAGCAGCAACACTGCTGGGAACAGCAGCAGCCAACACTGCTGGGAACAGCAGCAGCCAACACTGCTGGGAACAGCAGCAGCCAACACTGCTGGGAACAGCAGCAGCAACACTGCTGGGAACAGCAGCAGCCAACACTGCTGGGAACAGCAGCAGCCAACACTGCTGGGAACAGCAGCAGCAACACTGCTGGGAACAGCAGCAGCCAACACTGCTGGGAACAGCAGCAGCCAACACTGCTGGGAACAGCAGCAGCCAACACTGCTGGGAACAGCAGCAGCCAACACTGCTGGGAACAGCAGCAGCCAACACTGCTGGGAACAGCAGCAGCCAACACTGCTGGGAACAGCAGCAGCAACACTGCTGGGAACAGCAGCAGCCAACACTGCTGGGAACAGCAGCAGCCAACACTGCTGGGAACAGCAGCAGCAACACTGCTGGGAACAGCAGCAGCAACACTGCTGGGAACAGCAGCAGCCAACACTGCTGGGAACAGCAGCAGCCAACACTGCTGGGAACAGCAGCAGCAACACTGCTGGGAACAGCAGCACCAGCAGTGGCACAACTGGCAGAATACTTCTGAAGTTTCCCCTCTTCCTCCTCTCCTCATTCCCCCTTTCCATCACCTATCTCTTCTCCCTCTCCCACAGTTCGACGTGCAACCATTCCTTCTCTCTCCATCTCACGACAGCAGCAGCAACACCGCTGGGACCAGCAGCAGCAATGGCTCAGGCAACGTGTCGAGCCCCGAATCTCTCTCATTGAGTGAACGAGCGGCGTGGGCAGCAGAGGTCGATACGGTCTGGTCCCTCCCGTAAGCATTCTTTGTCATTGCAAGAGATTAAGGATGGCTTTTGAGGGTCCTTCCACCCCTGTTTCTGGCTGCCCACGATGCAAACTAGTACTAGGGTGAGCAGTGTGGGCAGCTGAAATCAACACTGTGTGTTCCCTCCCTCCCGTAAGCAATGCTCTTGACTGGAACATTTAACGAAACGAGCCCTTACTTGGAGTTGACTAAGGAGATGGGATGATAGCACGTGCCTGCTTGTATCGAAGTGTTTTTGAATTGGTGATGTTGTTGCGTAAGCTGCTTGTTTCGATTGATGCTTGTGAAAAAGTGGCCTTTGTTTCCCCTTTCGTGAGTCGACTAAAAAACCTTCCTTCTCCCCTTTTTTTTTGGCGGTGATTGAACAGGTACCCTGCAATCCTGCGACACACTGTAGAGGAAGTCGAGGCGGCTTGTATCGAAGCATCAAGAGAAGCAGCTCGACTGAAAGAAGCCGAAACAGAAGCAGAAGCAGCAGCTGCAGCAGCGGAAACAGGCAGCAGCAGCAGCAGCAGCAGCAGCACTTCCGCCTCCTCCTCTCCCGTACACTCTCTCCTGTCTTCTCTCCAGCAATCCATCAAACAAGAACTCGTGGGGAGGGATAAGCCCTCTTCATCTGGTGGTGGTGCTGATGGTGTTGGTGCTGCTGCTGGTGTTGCTGTTGCTACTGGCGGTGGTGGTCGCTTTGGGGATGTGGATGTGCGTGTGCCACCGAGACAGATGTCGCTCCGTGATTGGGTGGCTGCTGCGAAAGCACAAGGCGCAGTTGTCTTCATCGCAGGTACTCAGAAGTTGCTCTTGTCTCCCTCCCACCCACCTGGTCGTATCCCTTGGCTTGGCCCACACTGCTCCTTCTAATGCCATATGAGTCTCCCCTTTATCTTCCCCCATTTTTCCGCCTCGACCCCTTTCCCCCAACTTTTCTCTTCCCCCTTGTCCCCTCTAATCCCTTTCTCCAGTGCATGGAGGGATTGGCGAGGACGGCACGCTACAGCACCTGCTGGAGCATGAGGGAGTGCCCTTCACTGGTGAGAGGCTTGTCTATCCTCACGTAGAAAATCTCCTGTTTTTCAAGTCGACTCAATAGCTGAACCTCTTACTAAAAAGTGTGTGCATGTTTTGATTCTAGTCGACAAAAGGCTGAGCCCCTTCCGTGTGCTAGACAAGCAGACTCCCCTGTGAAATGTCATCATTCCAGCATGCACTTAACTAAGCGTCTGCCTGCCATGCAGGTTCCGGGTCTGAAGCATCTCAGCTGTGTATGGACAAGGTCGCCACAGGCCAGGCGATTGCTCACGTGAGTATCGAGGGTTGGTACATGTGGGTGTGTGTGTGGGTGTGTGCGTGCCTGCGTGTGGGTGTCTGCATGTGCTTGTTTGCGTCTGAAGCGGCTCAGCTGTGTATGGAAAAGGTCGCCACAGGCCAGGCGATTGCGCATGTGAGTCACGAATGTGGAGATGGGTGCAGATGTTTGCAGATGGGTGCAGATGGGTGCAGATGTTTGCAGATGGGTGCAGATGGGTCTGTAAGCGCTTGTTTGGCTCTGTACCCTTGCCCAGCTGTGTATCGACAAGGTCGCCACAGGCCAGGCCATCGCGCATGTGAGTCACGAACGTGCAGATGGATGCAGATGGGTGTAGATGGGCTAGGCCATTGCGCATGTGAGTGGCGAGGGTGGGTGCATGCCGCGTGGGTGCCTCTAATGGGGGTATAGGGATGCATGGTAAGAGAGAGTCGGGAGAGTCGGGATCTTGAAATTAAGCTTCAACTCCCTTTTTTGTTCAAGAGATGTTATCTCTTCTCTGGTCGCTCCTCCGTTTTGTTCCTTCCGTCTTACTTATAAGTTTCCCTCCCTACTTGCTTTCTCTTTTCTTACCTCCAGCTGACCTCGCAAGGGATATTCTCGGCTCGAAAGCTACTCCTTTCCCTTGACCAGCTGCTGCCCTGTGCTACAGCTGATGGTGGCGCTGCTGCTGCTTCTGCTGGTGCTGGTGGTGGTGCCGCCGATGCCACGTGGCAGCGTCTGATTGGAGAGCTCCAGGCGGCCTCGTTCTGTGTAAAGCCCGCGACAGACGGTTGCTCTGCTGGCGTCGCCCGACTCGCGTGAGTGCAATGCGGTGCAAAACATTGCGGAGTGGTTTGTTGCGGCCTAGTAGGTTGCATTGGCGTGGAGAGGGGTGACAGGCAGTTTGGAGCAGGCGTATATTGAGTACTCCCATATTTTGCTTTATACCCCCTGCCTCTTTTCAACCTTCTTTTTTCCCCCCTTCCCTGTGCATTGGTTTGATCTTTCACCGTCCCAGCACCCCATCTGATCTAGCAGCCTACGTTGCAGCAGTCAGGGATGCGGCCCCTCGCCTGCTGCCCGGCCAGCTATCCACGGTGGGTGGGTGCGTGAGTGAGTGAGTGAGTGAGTGAGTGGGTGAGAGAGGAGTGTGAGTGGGTGGATGAGTGAGTGAGCAGTTAGGGATGCGGCCCCTCGCCTGCTGCCCAGCCAGCTATCCATGGTAAGTGGGTGGATGAGTGGGTGAGTGTGAGTGGGTGAGTGTGAGTGTACGTGGGCGCACAAATGATTGGGTGTATGTGTGGGTGAGTGAGCAGTCAGGGATGCGGCCCCTCGCCTGCTGCCAGGCCAGCTGTCAACGGTGAGTGGATGGGAGCTAGAGGTTGCGTGAGTATGTGAGTGAGTGAGCGATTGGGTGGGTAAATTAATCAAAACAGTTCCCATTCAATTCTCCTCCTCTATCCTTCCTTCTTTCTCCTCCGCTTACCCTCCCACACACCCACGTCACCCCCAGCTATGCGGGATAGTGGAGATGCCTGCCTGTTCGCCCCCCAACCCATCTGCTCTTTGAGCCTTTCATCGAAACAGACCCTATTCTTCCTTTCCTAAACCCTTTGACCTCCTCTCCTCCCTTCCCTAATGCTTCTCGTTCCCCACTCCCCCTCTCAGTTGTGTGGGATAGTGGAGATGCCTGTTCGCCCCCCAACGCACCTCCTCTTCGAGCCCTTCATCGAAACAGACCCCATTCGACCGCTGCCAACCGCACAGCAGCACCAGAACCACCAGCAGCAGGAAGAGGAAGCGGAGGGCACGTGTGACAATAACGAGGGGCTCGTGTGGGAGGGCAGGAGGCGGTGGGTGGAGGTGACTGTAGGGGTGGTGGGGCACCGGGGCAGGATGAGGGCGTTGGCTCCGAGTGTGACTGTAAAGGAGGCTGGAGACGTGCTCACACTTGAGGAGAAGTTCCAAGGTGAGTGTGACAATAACGAGGGGCTGGTGTGGGAGGGGAGTTGGAGGGGCACCGGGGCAGCATGAGGGCTCTGGCCCCGAGTGTGACTGTAAAGGAGGCTGGAGACGTGCTCACACTGGAGGAGAAGTTCCAAGGTGAGTGTGACTGTAGGGAGTTGTAGGCGTGGTTATTTTTTATTCTGGGAAAGTAGCCTGCTGCTAAGGTTCTAGGTTGAAGGAGGGTGAGTGCTGGTTGAAAAGAAAGAAAAGAAAGAAACAAACAAAGCTGGATAAGGTAAGTAAAGCAGGGATCTCTTTCTGGAAAACATTAGAAGCTGTTATTGGCTTGGCTGTCAGCCCTTCCCTGTTTCATCCTCTTGCCTGAATCCTCCTTTGGGATAGTTCTGAAATTTATGAAATTTCTGAAATTTCTGAAAATTTTAGGGTGGCTGTCAGCCCCTTCCCTGTTTCCTTCTCTTGCCTGAATCCTCCTCTTCCCGCATCCTGCATTTCTCGTTTCAGGTGGCACGGGCATCAATCTCACTCCTCCCCCAACGTCCATCATCAGGTATTGACCTCTTACTCGCTCAGCTAGCAGAACACAACACACTCTATTCTGCGGTGCTTAGTAAGGTTTAAGAGACCACAACACTCTCCATTCTCTAAGGTCAATACCTTAGATGTGGCAGAGGATGCTGCATCTTCTTGCTTCAGATGTGGTAACCGCAACGGCTGCTGCAGAGCAGCCCCCCCCCCCTATACACCCGGCCTTGGATCTCCCCTCTACACCCCTCCCAGTGCTAATGCCCAGGAGGCAGGTCGGAGGCGCATTGAGATGGTGGCCAATGCTCTCAACATCGACGGTTTCAAGTTTGCTGCCCCAGGTAGCAAGCATCTGTCCGTGTTCATGCGTGCCTCTCTCTACCTCCCCTGCTAGTGCTAATGCCCAGGAGGCAGGGCGGGAACGCGGTGGCCTATGCTCTCGACATCGATGGTTTCACCTTTGCTGGTGTAGAAAGCAAGCATCTATCTTTGTTCATTCGCGCCTCTTTCCACCTCCCCTCCCAGTGCAAGTGCGCAGGAGGCGGGGCGGAGGCGCATTGAGATGGTGGCCAATGCTCTCAACATCGACGGTTTCGCCCGGATTGATGCCTTCATGCATGCAGACACCGGCGAGGTAATTCTATTGGAGGAAACTCTGCACATTCCGTCCACGCTTTTGCATTTTCTTGCATTTTTTTTTTTCCATACCATACCTAAGCATGCGTCCTCTCTTTTGTGGTGGATTTGAGCAGGTGATTGTTATTGAGGCCAACACTGTCCCGGGCATGACTCCTTCAACCGTGCTTATGCACCAGGTGCCTTCACACACCACAAACGTTTATCGTACATTGTTGATTAGTCTCCCATGCTCACACAGACAGCTCGTTGGTTGGTTGGTTGGTTGGTTTGTTTGTTGTTCATGCAGGCCCTAGCTGAGTCGCCGCCGATTCGACCAAGAGTTTTTTTTGCCATGGCAGTTGAGCATGCTCTTGAAAGGCATAGATAGTTGAAACGCATGATAGCGAAATAGGTGTACCGTACATGAGCTACAACATTTCGAACTGCTATGTTGTAGTGGGGTCTGTTGTGGTGGGGATGTCGATGAGGGAGCGAGAGGAGTTTCCAGGTGTGATGTCTCTCCCGCTTCATGAACATCGCCCCACAAACAGCGCCTACCAATCACACCGAGGCAGAAGCGTGATGCCGAGGAAGTTGAGGCGCAACGGATGAGATTGCAGGATCCACGGCATATCAACATAGCGTGCGAGAATGCAACGAAATGAGCGAGTTTTCGCGAGGACCTACCAGACCTCGCCTTCCATCGGGACGGTCGCAGCTCGGCATTATCGACAGCAGCCTTGGAGTTTGGTTTATTGATCTACTTTCTCACATGCTGGCGTCGCACCTGCCTGCCCAGTCGTCGTACTTCGTCGCCCTGGTTTCTTCAAACGTCGCCAGCCACCAGAACCTGGCGTGCATTCTGCGTGTCATGCAGTTCTCCTGCGACTATGCTGGTCGTGCGACGTCGTTGTGTCTTGGCCGTCACACTGTATTCATTTTAGTGCGACGATTACGGGTCGTCAAGAATCCTGCGAATTACGTTACATACCTTCTTCCGCTCCATCGCTCTCTTACAATGCTCTGAGTTCAGCACTGTTAGGAGCTGACAGCCATTGTTCATAGATATTCCGAGTCCATTCCACTATCAGGGTTTTTGTTCCTTCTCGTCCAGGTTCTTTTCAGCTCAAATATTTTATTTTTTTTGTTCCCCTTCCTTCGTGGAAGCTTACCGTAGCAGATAACACGCCGATTTTTTTGGGCCTGTTTCTGAATAACGGAATATTACCGAGTGATTTTTGTTGCCATCGAGGCTTGGCAGTTTAGGCACCAATGGCGTTTTTTATGAGGTCCTAATCGACGCATTTTACACAGTCTCTTACCGTGTACGCCACGTTTCCGGACGGTTTGTTTTATCGCGAGGCCGTTTTTGATAGAAAATGGCGAATTCTGGAAAAAGTGGACGGAAAGATAAATCGGCTTCAGGCCGGCCTTCCCCACATAAACAGCGAAAGAAAGTTACAGATTCCCGAGTCCAGAAAGTCGAGGATCAGACTAGGGACGAAATTCCGCTATTGACGGCTTCAGTAACAGAACAGAGCACGCTGGTGCATCGCACAGAGAATAAGGAGGACGAAAAGCCAGAGAAGCTTCCTCAAGTTCGAGCCGTGATTCCCGGTCCTACGCCTGGATCTCGTGTGACTATAGCGGTGGGAAGTAGTATCCATGAGATCTGTCTCGTTCCGTTGCTGCAAATTAGATGGATCAGGCCGCAGAAGGTTGGACCTGGGTTGCGAAATCTAGGTAACACGTGTTACCTGAACAGCGTGTTACAATGCTTGACATACACGCCGCCGCTCGCGAATTTCTGCCTGCAGCAGCAGCACACCAAGATCTGTGAGTTCCTAAATGAGCCTTACGATGATCCCGTAGTTGAATCGAGTCTCTCCGTTATTGGTGTCACTAATACGATTAGCTTGAGCCTGGTTCACATAACTTGCCGGGATTGGTGTGCGGCAACAGCAACAGCAGCAGCATAGGATATTCAATGCGAATTTTAGTAGGAAAAGATCCTCTTTTTTTCCCAGCTGAACCGTGCTCGGATTCTTGAGCCAGTTTTTTCATTAATCAGTCATCGTAGGTTAACTTCTGACAGTTCGGACAGACATCTGGCAGACAAAAATAGCAGCACTCGTGGACCTTTTCTCGTTTAGATTAGCAACATTCATTCAGACTGACGCTAGTCAGTTCATACCAACATTTGGACACTTCAGTTTAGCATTCAGCCAGTCCAGATTAGCAAGCAGTACGTTCACATTAGCCTTCACATCGTTCACATTAGCATTCAGCCAGTTAAGATCCGCATCTAGACTGTTTACAGTGGCGTTCAGTTACTTCAGATTAGACCAGTCAGTCCAAAGATGGCATTCAGCCAGTTCAGATCAGCATTCAGTCAGTCCAGATGGGCATTAGTCAGTTCAGATGAGGATTCATTGAGTCCAGATGAGGATTCAGTCAGTCCAGATCAGCATTCAGTCAGTCCAGATGAGCATTCAGGCAGTCCAGTTTAGCGCTCAGCCAGTCCAGATGAGCATTTAGTCAGTTCAGATGAGCATTCAGTCAGTCCAGATGAGCATTCATTCGGTCCAGATGAGCATTCAGGCAGTTTAATTTAACACCCATTCACTCTAGATGCCATTTAGTCAGCCCAGGTTCACATCAGACAGACAGTTTGGCCTAAGAATTTAGCGAAGTCTCAACTTTTTGAGTCAATAACTAGTGCATCTCGTCAGTCGTTACAATAAGACGTTAAGTTGAGTTGAGCTTTTGTTTCACGTCTTATTTCCACGCTCTTGTTGCTCTTTTCGATGCCTCTGCTTCTTTGTTGACAACCTTCTTGTCCTTCTAAACCCCTCTCACTCCCTACCACGTCCCCTCCTCAGGTGCATTTCTGAACCCTGGGGGAACAGCGTCCTGCCCCTTTTGCATTCTCGAGCGCCGTATCGCCCGCTCTTTGACTCTTGAGGCTGCCCGGGTCACGCCTAGAGTTGTAGTGAACCAACTCTGTTGCACTCCCTCCCTTTTTCTCCCCTCTTCCCTCCCTCTTTTCCCTCCCCAGGTGCACTTCTGAACCCTGGGGGAACAGCGTCCTGCCCCTTTTGCATTCTCGAGCGCCGAATCGCCCGTTCTTTGACTCTCGAGGCCGCCCGGGACACGCCCAGGGTTGTAGTGAACCGCTTAAAGCTGATTGCCAAGAGTTTCAGTCACGGTCGGCAAGAGGACGCCCATGAGCTGCTTCGATACGCGATAGAAGCATGCAACAGAGCGTGTGTAGCTCTGCACAAGAAGGTGGCTGCTGCAGCCGCGGCTGCTGCTGCTTCTGCTGCTTCTGCAGCTGTTGCTGGTGCTGCTAATGGGCCGAATGGCAGTGCAGGTGTGACTACATCGGGGGCTGTGAGTCCACTGAACCAGCAGGTGGAAGGGATGTCTCTAAACGAGGGGGGCACCGTTCAGAAGATGCACACGAGACGAAGCTCTAGATTATCCTTGGACAGAGCTAACGACAGTAGGGAATCCGCCCAGGAAGGTTCGTTCCCCCAGCAGTTTGTAACAGAGCAGGAGTCAATGCAGTTGGGCCAGTTGACAGGCAGTCAGGGGTGCCTGGTGCCTCAGTTAGGGGACCCCGTGGAGAGCACTGATATGGATGTAGAAGTGGACGTAAACGCAGACGCAGACGTGACAGAAGTGCCTGAACCGTCTGCTGCTTCCGCCTCAGCGCCAGCTACAGGATCATCCTCAGCAGCGGCTGTAGCGGATGAGGCAGATGTAGCAGCGGGGGGTAGCGGCAGCAGCGGCGGTGGGAGCGTGCCTAGGAGAAGGATGAGCTTGAGAAGGCGAGGGTTTGCCACTGATGGGGAGGAAGAGGAGGACAGGGACGGGGGTTTTGGGCATGCGGGAGCAGGGGCGGGGGCGGGGAGGGGAGTGGGCGGAGGCAGGGCGCGGAAGGGAAGGGGGGTTGCGCTGCGGATAGGGCTGCATGTCTTGCCTGGAAGGAGGAAAGGGCGGGGGGCAGGGGCGGCAGGGGCGGCAGCAGGGGCGGCAGCGGATCAGATAGGCTCACCTGGGAAATCTCCTGGTAGAAGCAAGGGAAGCCCAAGGGGAGCAGGGGGTGTGGGCGGAGCAGGGGAGGGAGGCGCAGGGGGTTGTTCAGGTGGACAAGACGAGCCGCATACTATAGTGAAAGAGATCTTTGGTGGGATTTTGCAGAGCCAGATTCGGTGCTTGCAGTGTGACGGGGAGTCTAATAAAAGGGATGCGATTTTGGACCTGAGTCTGGACGTGCATAGGCTGGGGTCGCTAAAAGACGCACTTAATAGGTTCACGAAGCCTGAAGTTCTGGATGGGGAGAATAGGTACCGATGTGACAAATGCAACCGGCTGTCTGCTGCGCGAAAGGCGCTGACGATTTTCCATGCGCCCAACATTCTTGTCATTCAGTTCAAGGTGCGGACTGAATTGTTGGCTAGGTGCTCCTCCCGTTCAAGATTGGTTTGACCTCCCGTTTTATTACCTGCCTGTTGTCTGCAACACTATTTTCTGTTTTGTTTTTCTCTCATCGAAGCATGTGTTTCATTAAGGTCCTACTTGTTTTGAGTTGCTATTTCCAGCTTGCTTACTTGTCTGCATGCGCCTTTGCTTGGTTGGTTTTTTTGCTTACTTGTCTGCTTGCATCTGTGCATCTGTGGGTATATTCCTGACTGCAGAGGTTTGAGAACGTGTTTGGGGGGAAGATTGACCGGCACATTCGATTCGAGGAGCGCATCTCCCTGAAAGGCCACATGAGCGGCTGTAGCAAGGTGGGTCCAAACAGATGAGCGGCTGTAGCAAGGTGGGTCCAAACAGATGAGCGGCTGTAGCAAGGTGGGTCCAAACAGATGAGCGGCTGTAACAAGGTGGGTCCAAACAGATGAGCGGCTGTAGCAAGGTGGGTCCAAACAGATGAGCGGCTGTAGCAAGGTGGGTCCAAACATGAGAGTACATTCTCTGCAACGCCCATTTGCGTGTTACCTGCTGCCATCTCTATTCTTCCCTATTTCTCCCTGCTATCACTCTCTTTAGAAGGCATCTGCTCGTTATCCAGCTGCTGCCATTTCTGTCCCCTCCCGCTTGCTTCCTGCTCTGCTCCCTGGCATCATCCCTCTCAGGATACAGTCACTTTAAAAGGCACATTTGCTTGTTACTCACCTTCTCACCTGCTGCCATCTCTGTTCTCCTGTTTTCATCTCTCTCAGGATACCAAACCAGAGCACGCACTCTTTGGGATGGTGGTCCATGTGGGGTCATCTCACCTGCCCACATGCTGCCATCTCTATTCTCTCTGCTTCTCTGCTTCCCTGCTTTCATCTATCTCAGGATACCCAACCAGAGTACACACTCTTTGGTGTGGTTGTGCATGCGGGGTCGTCCCAAGACTCAGGCCATTACTACGCATATGTCAAGGTACAGTGCTATGCTTATGTAGAAGTATGCGGTGGTTATGTCTAGGTATGCCACTTATATATCGTAAGGCATACTACTATGCATATGTCAAGGTACACTGCTATGCTTGTGTAAAAGTATGCAATGGTGATTTTGTCAAGGCGCCTATTTCAACCTCCCTCTCTCCTTCGTCCTCCCTCTTCCCACCTCAATCCCCCTTTCCCCCCCCTCCCCCCCTCCTCCTTCCTTCCTCCCCCCTGCAGAACTCTACCTGCAAGTGGTCCTGCTGTGATGACTGCTCCGTCTCGCTAGTTGCTTTTACCTGTCAGGCAACACAACCTGCATGCTCTTATACCTCTCCATACCTACTCCCCTTGCTTCCGTCGTTTCTGTCTTCCCCCCTTCCCCCCCGTGCAGGACTCCACAGGCAAGTGGTCCTGCTGTGACGATTGCTCCGTCTCCCCAGTGGCCCTCCCAGACGTTCTAGCAGACAAGGCCTACATGCTCTTCTACCTCCGCCTCTCCCCCCGCCCCCCCGGATCCACCTCCCTCTCCTCCCTCTCCTCGCCCACCTCCCCTCGCCCCTCCCACCGCTCGCCCGCACCCCTGTCTCTTGATCATACCAACAAGTCTCCTCTCTCCCCGTCTCGGTCTGGGAAGCTTGCTGCTTCCCGCCTGGCTGCTGAGTTGCAGGCGGCACCTGCTACAGCAGCAGCAGCTGCTGCTGCTGCTGCTGCCGCTGCTGGTGCTGGTGGGTTTGGGGCTGGGGCTGTTGCTTGTGTTGGTGCTGCTACAGCTGCTACAGCCTCCCCGCCTGGCCGTTGCACTGCCCTCCCTGTGCATGCTGCCTTCCCGTCAGAACCCTGTGTAGCAGGTGCTAAGCCAGAACCACTAGAGACGGCAGCAGTGCCTGATCCCCTGTCAGAAGCGGGTTACATGGTTACACGTGAGCCGTCACCAGGGCCTATAGAGCTGCCAGCAGCAGCAGCCGAGCAAGGAGAGGGAGAAGTAAAAATAGATGCAGAGGAAGCGGCAGTAGGAGAGGCAGACGCAGAGGTAGAGTTACAAGGAGAGGCGGTTCTGGCGATGGCAGATCTAGTAGGGACCAGGGCAGGTGAAACCGCAGGTGGGGTTTTACCTAAAGCTGTGTCTGCGCTTGCAGCCCTGGGGTTAGTGAGGAGGAGCGTTGCCACTACTTCTGTTCCTGCTGCTCCTGTTGCCGCTCCTGTTGCCGATCCTGTTGCTGCTCCTGCTGTTTCTCCTGTTGCTGCTCCTGCTGTTCCTCCTCCTCCTCCTACTGCTTCTGCTGCTGCGCCTGCTGCTCCTGTTATTGCTGCTGCTCTTCCTGCTGCTACGGTTGCTCCAGAGTTTGCTGCTCCGGAGTCTGCTGCTGCTGCGACAGCCACAGCTGTAACAGCTGCTATAGGTGATGAGAACGGGCAAAGGAGCAGCAGCAGAGGGAAAAGCAGTGAGAGGCATGGGGTGGTTTGTGGGGTTAAGCGAGTGGTTTTGGTGAAAAGGATTGCAGATCTCGCAGCAGATGCCTCTACTGCCGCTGCACCTCATTACATCTCTCTGCCTGCTGACCCTGCTGAGCCTGCTGTGCCTGCAGCTGCTCCTGCTTCTACTGCTGCCGCTCCTGCTTTTACTAGTGCTGATTTTGTCTCTAATGCTGCTGTCCCCCTGGATGGCAATGAGTCAAGAACAGGTGCAGGAGCTATGTTGGACAGGGCGCTTAGTTCAGGTGTAACAGCAGCTCCCCTGAATGGGAATGAGTCAAGGACAGGTGCTGCTGGGTGTGCACGAACGGCAGCAGCAGTCAGCACCAAGCGGGTTCCAGTGGCGGCAGCAGCGCCAGCAGCAGCAGCCGTAGGAATGGCACTAGCAGCACCACAAGTAGCAGCTGCAACAGCAGATGCGGTTGTGGGGCTGGTGATTTCAGGTGCGACAGGTGCCAGCCCTGCAGCAGCAGATATGTTTCGAGGAACATCTGCTACATTAGCAGCAGCACAGGCAGAGTTATCACGAGGAAAAGCTGCTACATTAGCAGCTTTCACAGGGGTTTCCACATGCCCAGCTGCGGCAGCACGGACTGAACCAGGTGATTTATCGAGCACAGCGGGACTTGAACCTGTGACCTTTCAAGTCACAGTGGGTGGGAGCCAAGCTGCGGAGCCAGTTTCGAGGGAAGACACGTCTGGGGCATCTGTGCCCCATGAAATGGCAGCTGAGACGCGTCACTGGAAAGTGAGGGATGAGGGGTTGAAAGCAGGGGATGCAGAGAAAGATGGGAGTGCAGAGAAAGGCCGGGATGCAGAGGAAGTTGGCAATGCGGAGAGGTATGAGGGGTTGCAGAACG